TATAGTAGGTTTGAGGCCATCGCTCTTAGGGTTGAGGCCATTGCTCTTAGGTTGGAGGCCATCGCTTCTAGGGATAGAAAGCACGTCGAGAAAGCGGCCCTACTGCTTTGTTCTACTTGGCCAGTGCTGTTGCACTCTTGGCTCAGATCCATTTGAGGACGAGACAAAGGAACGACCCAAGAACAAGTTCTACAGTAGGAGCCTTTAATGACGCACCAGTCACGAAAATCACTGCAACGTGCCTTTCAACCCTTATCTGAGTGGTGCTGTCAACATTTCATCGAAGGTGATGACCGAGTGAGCAACCCCTCACAGCGACGCTAGAAAAAGAAAACTGGATTCGTCTGGATTCTGTATATTTATATATGTTCTTCTTTTTTCTGCCCATTGATGCATCATGTTCTGGCTAAGACGAGCTTGATTGCTTGTTCGGCACGGTGGCCAAGGCTGGCAAGCGATACAAAACGGACATATCAATACGGACCGCAAAGCTATTCTTGTCAAAGGTTTTCAAAGAGAAACACCTGATAGGAAGGATCGCACTTGATTCCAACACTGGCCGTGTGAAATTGTGTGATTGTTCTGTGGAAAAACATGAGAGGTTGCCGAAGCTGATGCTGCCTTTGCCGCAGAGCTTAGGGACAAGCAGAAGACGAAACTATGAAAACACTTCAGCGGAGAAGGGGTGCATAAGACCAAAACAACCGTTTTCAACCGCGTTAATGTTTTGGACTTTATACACTTCCGATGTTACTACTACCCCAGCTCGTAGATTGAAGAAGGGGACTCCTTAGATAGATCATGGTTTTACTTTTCATGTGTTTTCCTTTTTCATGCCATTATGTTTCCTTTCTCAATTTATTGATTTCCTTTTGCTCCTTCTTTCTTTAGACCTTTCATTTTTTGTTGGCCTTTTACTAGTTAACAACCATGCTTTTCTACCAACAGAGCATTTGGGATTGAGGTACACCGACGGTCATCGTCTACGGAAGTTTAGCCTGAGCCTAGTATCGCTGTCGGACGACAATATGCTCATGCTATCGAACTACGATATGCTCATGCCATTGCCGCCTGTGTATTTTGTTCCTCATCTGGGAGCAAGAGCCTTTGGATCCACTGATCAATCGTGTTGTTCCATCCATCATTCTTGACTGTTGATAAATAACCCCTTCTGGGATAGTCAAACATCATCAAACATCTCCCTTCGGTCAACTGTCAACATGACATCATGCGGGATTGACAGTCCCTCCGAGGCTCTGAAGTACCAGAGGATCAATGCCCAAAGCAGGTCTGAACTGCCAAGCTGGTAGAGAGCTTGAATAGGCAAAATCTAACTGGCTCAACGTAGCAAACTGCCAAGAACCTGCGCAGTTTCTGAAGCAGATGTGTTGTTACGGGCCCAGGCAGACATAGATTCTGATGAAGTGGTTCGCAGCATCCAAGCATTGGTTGACGGCCTGAGACATATGAGCCCCTCTGCGCTGGAGGAGACAAGACTCCTTTTTTTATGACCCCGCCCCCTACTTAATTGAGTGGGCGCCTACTTAACTAGGGAGGTAAGCTACTAGCTACTAGTTCGCTCCTAGCAACTGGACGCACGATAGCACACGCTTCTTCAAGGAAGATCCCGTTTGAGGGCGGGGGCGAGGCTTGTCCTGGCTCCTACAGTACAGTGAATGAGCTACGACTTTGCCATGCAGTTATATTTTCTGGCGGCTCTGTCGGTGCCAGGAGCTTTATGACCTCACCTGCCAACACTACTTAAAACAAGGCCGAGTGGATTCCAGTGAGCAAGCACTGCAGCAGAGGTGTGCCTGGCATGTTATTGGTATGGGAGGAGTCACTTAGGAACAAAACCCCACACCAACTTCAGTGTATTTTGATAACGTAGCAGAGCGGTTTGATGCAAACACTGTTGCTTTCATTGGGGGTGTTCGTGTCGAATCTTGCATTGAGACTTCGACTTGGTGCATTTGCAAGCAGCCCGGAATCGAAAGCATCACCATGATGACAGGGAGGTCAAGTTCTATCACAATGCGTGTGGCCTTGCCAGCACATGTCTGATGGGGTTTTCATGAGGCTTGCGACGAGCAACCCACCCTCCGTGAAGTCTCATTTTTGGAGATCAAGTCGTCCAGCTTGTGTGGCACCTTTGAACTTCTGCACATGTGCAAAAGACTACAACCAAACATGCCAAAAATAGACCAAGGTGCCCTGGCTCAAAGTTCCTGCCGCTAGCGCATGCTGAGCTGAGGCAAAATCATCACCAGTAAGATCGAGACTGGCAGATTGCAGGAGAGAGGGATGTTGATAGATTTTATGCACGATCATCATACGATAAATGTAACATATCATTTGCACCATTTCTTTTGCAATTTTCTTCAGTAGTGGATGCATGTGGAGTAGATGGATTGAATGGGATTGAACACATATCTGAAGATTACAAACAGCTGAACAACTGCACAGGATATGATTCTGGAGAATTTTGATAAAGGCCATCAAGATTTGGAGCGCCTAAAGGCGCAGCGGCGGAGTTGGAGGCAGTTGGAGGCAAAACAATGTGACCAGGGAAGGAAGGAAGTGACAAGATCCAGGAATCCAGGCACTCTTTGCTTTGGCCGGTGTGACAGGTGTACCAAAATCCATTGTGCGCAGTGCCAGATATGTTTGCAAGATCTAGCTAATCTAACCAATCAATGTCCACCTGACGATGTGATGAGCCACCTGGTTGGACATTTGACTATTGCTGCTTTGTTACCGATTTGGCAGGGGCACCTGGATGATGCTATTCACCCCCAGGTGCGCCAGGCAGTTGAGGACCACCTCTTTTTGGCTGTCTCAAGACAAGCTTGTTTGTCGCCAGTACCAAAGTTACGAAAGCGACGGTGGAGGCGGAGCTTGGAGTTGAGTTCTTGAGTTTTTCCCGAATACGTAGCGAAGGGTTCTCGTTTAACTCTGGGGGTCTGAGGGTAGAGCCTTGTTCGCGACTAAGTGTCCTACAAGAGTGTCCTGAGTGTCCCCACAAGAATATCCCACAAGAGTGTCCTATATACATTGGGTCAGTCCTAATACCTGTAACAATCAGTAAACAATTATCATCATCCACTGTTATAGGTAATTGGATAGATCCAAGTCCTACAAGAGTGTTTCACAAGAGCGTCCCAGAATGCCATACAAGAGTGTCCTGGACAAGAGTGCCTTATAAGAGTGCCGCACAAGAGTGTTCCACAAAAGTGTCGGACAAGAGTGTCCCACAAGACTGTTGCATAAGAGCGTCCGACAAGAGTGTCCTACAAGATGTCCCACAAAAGTGTCCTACAAGAGTGTCCCGCATGAGTGTCCTACAAGGGTTTCCCACAAGAGTGTTTCGCAAGACTGTCCCGCGCAAGTGAGTGCCATACAAGAGTACCCTGCAAGAGTGTGCTACAAGAGTTTTCCACAAGAGTGTCCCGCAAGAGTGTCGCACAAGAGTGATCTACAAGAGAGTCCCGCAAGAGTGTCCCTACAAGAGTGATCCACAAGAGAGTCCGGCAAGAGTGCCCCACAAGAGTGTCCTACAAGAGTGTCCCACAAGAGTGTCCTACAAGAGTGGTCCGCAAGAGTGTCCCCCAAAAGTGTTCCGCAAGAGTGTCCCACAAGAGTAAGAGTGTCCCACAAGAGTGTCCTACAGGAGTGTTTCGCAAGAATGTGTCACAAGAGTACCCCGCAAGAGTGTGCCCCACAAGAGTGTTCCGCAACAGTGTCCCAAGAGCGAGAAGTGTCCCACAAGAATGTCCGACAAGAGTGTCCCACAAGAGTTTCCCACAAGAGTGTCCCGCAAGAGTGTCTCACAAGAGTGTCCTACAAGAGTGTCCCACGAGAGTGTCCGACAAGAGTGTCCTGCAAGAGTGTTTCAAGTGGCAACTTGCAGCGCAAATGTAGTGTGGGAAGAAGCTCCTGGGAGCTAGCTTCTGGGAGCCTCAGAACTGGCGTAATGCGGAAGCAGGTTGTGGGAGCTGTAGTACACATGTAGTAACGTTTGGCAGGTGGGCCCTCAGAATTGTCACTTGGTTGCGCAAATGTCGCTTCTGAGAGCTGTGGCCTCAGAACTGGCCACTGGGTAGTACAAATGTAGCGCGGCAAGCAGCTTCTGCGATTTGTAGTGCAAATGTAGTGCAGGAAGCAGCTTCTGGTAGTTGTGGCCTCAGAGCTGTCAACTTATGTAGCCGAATTACATCTGAGTACGTGAGCGTCGTGAGTGTCCCCACAAGAAAGTCCTGCAAGAGTGTTGCGCAAGAGTCCACAAGAGTGTCCCACAAGAGTGTTCTACAACAGTGTCCTGCAAGAGTGTCCCACAGAGTGACGGAAGTGTCGCGCGAGAGTGTCCCACAAGAGCGTTCTACAAGAGTGTCTCCTACAAGAGTGTCAAAAGATTGTTTGGGCGCTTGTTTTCGAGTTTGTTTTTGCATTCGGGTTTGCGGGCTCCATCTTGTTTCTGGAAGAATGCATTTTGAAGATGACGAAACAGCAAACTTGAAAGACAGCTGCTTGAGACGGTCGATTTGGTCAGGTGAGCTAGAAGAGCGGAACTGGCCGGTTTGCAATTGGCAAAATGCCCTATTATACATATTATCATTTACAGATTATATAACACACACTGTAAATGGTTCACTCGGGATAACAGCTGTTCAATTGAAACTGAATTGTCGAAAAAACACGTAAAACTTGGCGTGCAAGTTCAACTATTTCGAAAAACTGTGGGTTCTGGCTTTCATTTTTGCGATGCTGAGCAGATTGGAAACCGCCAGGTTTCCCTCTAGAAGAGGTGAGCTGCAAATGACGGAGTTTGGCACAGAGGTGAATGAGCTGCAGTCAATTCTGCCATGCAATTGATCCGGCATTTTCAATCGAAAAGTCTCAATTGTTATATGTTCCCCTAAGATTTGAAGTCTCATTTCCACAGGTGCGCCCGTTGCACGAGAAATGGGTCCTGGACGCTGAGGCAGGGGATGGGGAGCACATGCAGCTTTGGTAGAAATTCAAGCTTTCGCTTCAGTAGTCTGTTTACACTTGTGTTTTCTCTTTGCAAGTTAGGATTGTGGGACTGACATACCAGTATACAGTACACAAATCCCGATGCAGCTGCTGAGCTGAGCCCCACATCAGTGCCTCAAAAAACCAGGCAGCGCCGGGCAAATCAGGTACAGTACAGTACGTCCATGCAAGTTGTAGCACAAGCTCGTCCGAATACTGACCAGATTTGCTTGATGCCCGCGCGAAGCCCTTGTGGCTCTTGTCCCCTGCCTCTGAAACACCTCTGCCGCCATGGCAGTTTCAGAGGACTTCTCATGGCTGTCACTGGACTTTGATCACACCCAAGCAGCGATTACACATCTGAATTCAGGGTTGGCCACAGCATATAGGACAAGCGTGCAAGGCGTGTAGACTCGTGGGTGTAGGACGCCCACTCACTCATTTGAGAAAAGCAACATGCTGAGGTCTGGAGATCTACACCGGCGCAACCGTGTCTTCAAGAACAACCAGGAGAACTTTTCTGTTTAGGATAAGTTTGCATCAGGTGCACCGAATGAAGACGCCCGGTTCGATTTGTGCGAAATAGTGGCTCAAGTCGCCTGTAGGCGTTGATCCTGTCTAGTTGCTCAATCACCATGGCTGATCAGAGTAGCCAGGCGCCTGGCCATGGGCACTGAGGATGAAAAGTGCGACTTCAAGCCCATGGAAATGTATCGAAGGCCACTGACTTTGGTGTGCTTGTTGACATCAAATATTGTGGGGTGTGCCACACTGATATTGTCTACAAATGGAAAGGCCAACACAGTGATGAAGCCTAAGTATTCTGCTGTCCCAGGACAGGAGCTGGCAGGAGTTGTGGAACAAGTAGGTTCCAAGGTCACAAAATTTCAATTTTGTGACCAGATTGTAATCGGAACAGCGATCGACTCGTGCCTAACTGGCAAACACTGCAAGTGTGGTGACGAACAAAAGTGCAAGAAAGTCGTTGCCACGTATGCAGGCGAAGACTGGTCAGGTCGTGCAGCTACTCATCCTCCAACCAGAGAAGTACCCGGTAAACCCGGGAAAGCTGAAAAGAGTCCTTTGATTGGCGGTTATAGTACGAAAAGCGTGATTTTTGAGCACTTTGGCATCAAGATTGGCAGCTGCAGGGCCTGTAATGTGCGCAGGTATTACAACATACACTCCTTTGAAAGAAAGAGCATGGTGCAGGCCCGGGTGCATCAAGCTTGCCAAGGAAATGGGCTGCAAAGTCACGGCCATTTCTCGGTCCAAGGCCAAAGAGAACATAGCCGGGGAAGCTGGAGCATTTGCGTGTGTCGCAACTTCTGAAAGTGCCGATCTTGCCGGCGCTGCCAATTCCTTGGATATCATCCTTGACGCAGTTCCTTCCGACCACGACTTGACACCATACAAGAAGATGCTCAAGGATTCACAAAGCAGGCTCATAATTTTGGGGCTTTGCCCACAATTGACAGGAGCATTTCTAGCCGGCTGTCCTCGGACAAAGATCTCGAGTGACCTTTTCCTTCGCGGGTGGTATCACAAACGCGGAGGAGTTGATCACATTGACAAGGCAGGGCCAAAGATTCTTCCCCAACTCAAGATCATGCCTGCGCACGAGCTGAACAACATTTTTGAGATCCTTGAGCGAAGCAATGATGAAGCCCTGAGGTATGTCCTTGACCTGTCCAAACTCAATGGTGACACCGCCTCTAAGTGTACAACCCCCCGGCCAAAATGAATGAAGCGGAGAAACCGATCTCTGTCGGTAGCGCGATGAGCAATTGCTGCTCGATTCTTTGTGGCGATTGCTCCCCTTGTTGCTGTTGTCATTGTTAGACCTGTGGAGTTTTCTGGTCCAACGGCAGGTCTAAAGTCTCTGCAGAATAAAAGAAACGTTGAACTACTTTGGACCGACCTGAGTTTGCTTCACGGCCTCACGTGCGTAAGGAAATGTGCATGTGCTGCCAGGTCACTCCGCATGTCCAATTTCCTGCAAAGCAGGATTTGCACACTGCATTCGCGTCTGGTACCAACACTGCCTGGATGTAAAAGAATGGCCGTACTTATGCGCAGCCGAGGCTGAATAGAGTTGGCAATCTACACAGTGCTTTGGTCCATGCTGACAGGGTTTTGCTTTATATATAGCCGGGAAGATGTATTTTCAGTCAGGGGTGTTTGGCGAAGAACTAAGTTCATTTCTGCTCACAGGAAAGGCTGCTCTTCTACCTCACCGAGGAGGTGAACCGCACGCCTTCAGTTTTTGAGCAGGCAGGAAGTTGCGCTTTTTGTGGACGAACGGGATTGATGGAGCTAATTGACTTGTTGAGGTTTAACGCTGTTCATGCCCAATCTGGTTCTGCAGCTGAAACGATTTGCAGGCGCAGAAGAACCGCGATGCTCATCAAAAGCGGCTCAATGAAATGCTTGAAGAGACATTGCGCCAAATCAAGAAATGCCGGGCTCACATGCAGCAACTCGGCAGTTCATGCCCTAAGTCCGTTGCTTGCTCTTCTGCGTAGCATCCTATGCACGATATTCCAGTTCCAGGTCGCATGTGTTTGAACTTTTGCAACCCATGTCTTCTGACTCAGTAATGCACGCAAAGCAAGGTAGCACATAAAACATGCTGAGGACAGGGTGTCGTGGTTGGTGTTTGGAGGTTATGACTGTCCATACAGTAGCCGGCAAGATGGTTTTGATGCGACCCAATTGTTTGTTGGTTTTGCTTTGAGAGGCAAAAAAAGAAACATGTCATGGACACCACCAAGTCCTACACTGCCGCTTGGCGAAGCCACTCCAACCTTTCCAGCATTGTCATCCTGTTGCAGGGGACAGAGATGGGCCATTGCCAAAGATGATGATTTTGAAAACAATCGAGAGTGATTCTAATGTTATCGGAAGAGCGAGAGCGAGCCTCCAAGTTGATTCTGTAGCCGTAGAGCAAATTTACAGCTGCCAGAAAGGGTGACATGAACCCCAAACATACGTGCTTGGCTAACTGCTTTGGCGCTGTTTTTTTCTTCACTTGGCCCAGCGATTCCAAACCGCTCTTCACTTTTCCCAGGCCAAATTTCAGCATGAGCTTTCAGGAGCTGATCAAGGCATTCGCCGAGATTTGCGCGAGGCCTTTGCCAGCATGAATGCGGTGCCATGGCAGATCGAGGGGTTCCAATAGAAAAGCTTCATCAAACAGCAGGACAGTTGCCGCATTTGTCGAACATATTAAAACATTGTTATCAATGTTGTTCATCCACTGCCCAAAGACTCGCAAGACTAGTAGCAAGCTCAGGCCGTTGATGAGCTGAACGAACGCATGACCTTTGCAGAGGCGCGGAAGAAGAAGGTCTGATCTACCTGGAATATATTGTTTTGAACCATGCTGCACAATGGTTGCTTGATTCTGTTGCTGCAAAAGTTGCTATTTCCGAAAGAGCTGGAAGGATGCGGCTCTAGCTATATGGATTATAGACTGTCCATTCAAACGCATCTAGCAACTTGTGTTATCGGCAAACCCTGACGTAGGTTTCAAAAATTGTCCGCAAGAAACCCATACCCATGCAATGTCAGTGTTGCAATGATGTGCTTTGTCAAATGGGAACCGAAGCATTGTGCCAGCCGGTCAAAACTGAAGGATGCTTTGGTGCAGCAGAGAGAGGATCGGATAAAGCACATCGAGGCTTGATTGTTTGGTGGGGAGGTGCTTGTGGCTTGTTGAGACAGAATAAGACTTAGGTTCTGTTTTTGGTTTTCAATCTTTTGCCCCTCGGTCAGTTTTGCCTCAATTTTTTGAGCGAAGGGGTTTTGCTCAAGGCACTACAGATTGGTTCGAAGTCACAAAAGTCACTGAAGTCTATTGCTCTCAGGTTGGAGGCCGTCGCTCTTAGGTTGGAGGCCATCGCTCTTAGGTTGGAGGCCATTGCTCTTAGGTTGGAGGCCATTGCTCTTAGGTTGGAGGCCATTGCTATGAATGTTTTGGAGGCCACGCTGGGCCCCATCCGTGATGAGTCGCAGCGACTCTCTGACGCTTTGGCCATTGAGACGCAGAAGCGGCAGTTGCAGGACCAGCAGCGAGTGCCTTGTCACTCCACGATGAATTGTCCATGACAAGTGAAGTTCACTTGTGATTGGGTTGCTTGTTGAATTGAGACAACTGGGGCTGATGCAAACGGAACCAAAGGTACAGATCACAACTAGAGTATAGAGGAAAAGAGGTATACTACTGACTAGTAACTTAGGACTTGTCGGACATACACGCCAATTCCAAAAGCCTATGTCATCAGGATTGATCCAACATTGGCATTTCCTCTTAAGGCCTATGTCATCAGGCCACAACCATGATATTCATAGAAATATGTATGAGGTATTCAAGGAAGCAGCGCCCGCAAAAACACATAGTCGCACCCTATGTCACCACTGTGTCACCAGGGTGCCAGGCAGTGGTATCTAGCATTATTTAGCTGTTTTTAGGAGGTGTCCACAGGTCCCATGACACCAGGTTTCCCACCCAGACCTTTTTTTTAGCTCGATATGTCAGGGCACATGACTTAGCCCTGGGGGTAGCCAGATTGGTATGTCACTTGCATCACGTTGGCCTAAGTCATTAGACAGTAGTATATATAAGCTTGCTTTTTCTGAACATGCTGCTTAGTTGTATTGCACTCCGAACGTTGTGTGGTGGCACTAAGGAGAAGCTTCTCCAAGATGAGGTGCATGCTTTCAATGCATTGCTGGATGAGGAGAAATTCGACAGGGAGCAGCAGCTCATGAGCCTCTCAATTTCAACCAGTTCTGAGAGCCATGCCAAATTGGCTTTTGAACCCATTGTTGTTTTTTCCTTACAATTTGACTTTAGGCTTTAGGGAGTATTTCTTAACGAACTTTTTGCGTTTTGGCCGCTTTTCTTTTTACTTTGGCAACAACTTAGGGGCAGATGCTTGAGATGGTTGATAGTAGTTTTTTTGCGGAACAGGCCTCTCCGTGGGAGGCACCAAGCCAAGTAGCAATTGGTAGTTAATTTGTTTGAAAGCTCCCACCACTTTTGCGGAGACTTTCGCAGAGACTTTTGCAGAGACTTTTGCAGGGACTTTCGCAGAGACTTTCGAACAGAGAAACCAGCGTGGCAGATGGTCCATGCTTAACCGGGGACGTTTGCTAAAGCGATCCTCCTAGCGAAGAGGCCTCCTCCAAAGATGGGGAGGTGGGGAGGCAGAAACATTGCGAAAGGTTTGGATCCAAACTGACGGTGCTGACAATGCCAAGGAAGCTTGCCTGGCATCACCGCTTGTCATCCTAAAATGAGGATTGCACTTTGGCCATAGCTGCCGGTGCTCCATGCCAGGAACCATTCGACCTCCTGGTTTTTCTTTGGATTGATCTTTGCCTTTGGGTGTATGGTTCTCCACACAGGAGGTGGTGGTGCTGTACGCCCCTGCTACACATGCATGTTGCCCGCTGGTCTCTCTCTAGCTCTTTCGCTCTGATTCATGTGCGTGCAATCCAAGGTTCCCACCTTGACATCTAACAAATCACATTATTAGCCATTCACTTTTGCTTCTTGCTTGTCTCACTGTGCCTGCAACGTGCAGTTGTTGTTCTTTCGTGGATGCCGGTCTACGCTGGGCATTTTCAGACTCAGCTATCTAAGTAATCACTACTTACTCTGGGCCCGGTGCCTCCGCCCCAGAGATCGGAGACACAGACGCATGACAACACCTGGATGGTCAAACCTGCGATTCAGGCTATGAGCGCTGGGCCGATGCCTCACAACAGCAGGTGGCCAAGAGCCAATACCAACTGGAAAAGGAGGCCAGCTCTCATTACGTTGGGGATGTGATTTGGAGGAACAATGTGATAAGACCCATTTCCATGCAATTCCCAAGAGAAGTTCACCAATTGTTGTCCCATGTTTTGATCATGCAAGTATCCTCAAAGTGACGTCCTGTTTTTTTGATAAGTGCGGCCGCCTGCTCCACAACAAGTGTTTGCTTTGATTGAATCCTGCCAGGTGCGGGAGCTCACAAAGGACATTCGTGCCGACCATCAAGCTGACTGCCAGAATCGGGTGGAGGCTCAACACGCTATCGTGGACAGTATTGCCTCCTTCATCCATAAGCAGCTTGACCAGCTTGACCATTTGTTTGGACCAGTGGTCGGGGATTGTATTTTGTGTTAAGTCTTTTGCACTACAGCAGAGTTCATACTAGCTAGGGGCAATCGATAACATTAGAGGGATGAAGCACAGATTCATATGCAGTGCAGAGTCCAGAATCCAGTAGCAATCCAAGGTACCGAGAGCAGATCGAAAGGGATGTGTCTCTTCAGAATGTGTACCAGCAGTATATCAAGTGAGTGTGGCTTGATGTGTGCAGCTTGCCAAGCAAGGATGGCACAACCGAATCTAGCCAAATGAGATAGCCAATGGGCTCCCAAGCAAGGTGAGACAATGTCATAGATGGATACAGGACTCCACTTGGGCAATCGAAGAGAATCGCCACTTAAGATGTTTGGGTCTGTCATGCTGGAGCTGGGTTTCACGCCAACAAATAGCACCACAAAGATTTGAAGCCCTGAAGCAGTCTTGTTTGACAGTAAGGCTATCCATGACCAGTTACGACGTTGCAAGACGGTGTCTAACCTCCTCACCTTCAGTTTCACGTAGGTTGCGATCGCCTAGGACGCTTGGCGGTGGAATTTGCAACGTATGTGATTGGAGAAAGATTGCCTAGATCCTATGGGCTGTGCATGGCTGTGCCATGTACACTAACAGATTAAAGGTAGCTTCCAAGATATCACTTGTTCCTTTATGGGATCAGACAATCAGCTCTTTGTCATTTGGTGTATCATCATGCTGTGTTGCAGGTGGCAAAAGTGCCTTGGGATGAACCACCCAGGCGACACTTCAGATGCTTGCCGAGCACTCTGCTGTTTGCTGCCTAGTGAACTTACTGCCTGTTGAAAGTGCTATCGCTGTTTCGGTTTGTTGTCGGGCTTGTTGCCGCTACGTTACTGTTCCTGTTGCTGTTGCTGCTGCATGCAAGGGCCAGTTCATATGAACCAAACGAAGCCTATGAGCTTATTTTACACACTTCTCTAAACTGTCCAACTGTACAAGTATGATGGGCACCACCTGCACCGTTCTCTTGACAGGAGTTGCCACGTGCCGTCCCTGACCAAAAGCATCCTCCTGAGCAACATACCCAATGATGTGAAGGAGCTGTGAGGGCTGACATGCTGAAAGAATACTGACTGCACGACTGTAGTACTTATTGTTACTACTAGTAAGGCACTTGTTACTACTAGCTTCTTGTTAGTAGTAAGGCACCTGTTACTACTAGTGATGCACCTGTTACTAATAGCTTCCTGTTACTACTTACTGCATCGCGTCCGTTTATACTTTTCGCCTCGGAGCCGAACAGCTTTGGCTGAGGAGGAGACGCTCAGGGCGTCTTTGTGCAATTGTGGCGACATTGTCAAAGTGGACATTTGCTGCCTGGCAAAGACATGTGGAATACAAAAGTGGAAGCATCAACTTGGAAAGTTGATCTAAGCAGTGTCTTCGGCACATCCTCCAGCCGGCTTCTAGCCAGCAGAAATCTGTAGAATGAAATTTATGTTGGGCTGGGCTTGTGGGGTTTGGAAGTCTACAGGGCCGACCATTAGGGTTTTGGCACAGTAGTTTCAGCAGCTCATGCGTGATGTTTATGGTATCACCTTTACTGAGGCAATGAGTGGAAAGCGATGGAAGACACCTGGAGGTCAGCTTTTGGCACATCATTAAGCTGAATATGTTGAGGACCAAAGGAGCCATAGATTTTGAGCAACAGCAGCACACATTGCTGTCTCTCAATGAAAGATAGGGGTGCTTTAGCTTCACTTCATGTTTGTTCAACATTTGCTTTGTGTCAAGGGATAGACCGGAGACGATCAAGACCAAGGACAGAACTTGAGCGTAATCCTTTGCAAGAACCCACAAGACCCAGCGGGTTCCCTTGCTTTGGGTAACAAGCGTCACAGATGATATCAAAGAATTACAACTAGAAGCGCAGCCACGTTACTCCAAAGTAATTTCGACCGTAGGTCTTTCTTTTTCTTTCTTTAATTTTTTTAGCATATCTGTCCATTTCTCCTTCAAATCCTAGGGAAGCCCACCTTATACTTTTTGCCTTCATCGTTAAATCGTTTGCAGGACGGCCTAGAGCTTCCGATGGCGCCTCCGAAGTATACAATGTCAAGAGCTCAGAGCAACGAACAGTGCTTGGCTGGCTGGCTGCTGGGACCCAGTGGTGTAAAGCTTACACCGGATCCTGTGGGCATTGTTTGTTCCCTTTACAACGATTCAGTGCTTTGTTCTGGGTATGCCGGGTTCGGATTTTGTTGGTACATGATGCCAGGTCGTATGCCTTCGTTGAATTCAGCGACGCGGCATCGCGGCAAAGAGCCACAAGAAAGCTGCGACTTGGTGACATCAAACTTGAAAAGGTTTCCCTTGAAGTAGTTGCTCTTTCTTTCTTTCTTTCTTTCTTTCTCTCTCTCTCTTTCTTTATTCGTTCAGTCCATAAATTTTGGAATTCCCCAACGAGTTCGCACTCATGTCCCCGTTTTTTGAAGTTTCTTAAAACGGGTGACGAAGTCCCGAAGGAGTTTAAGTGGATTGAATTGCACCGTGACATGCTAGACTGGCACATACCAACGCTTCTACTCAAGACGCAAAAGGCACAGACACTCTGCTGCAGTTTGTGATGTGTGCTTTCTTTCTTTCTTTTTTTCTTGCTCTCTCTTTCTTTTCTCCTCTTCTGAGCCGCCAAACCTGCTGTTGATGTGATCGATGCACTTCTCTTTTTAGATAGATATTTTTCGATCATGAGCAATCATGAGCACTGTCAGGCCACGGTTGAGTGGCATACTCTTCAAAGAGGCCCGGTCAAGAACGCCAGTAGAACCTGATGATGATATCCGATGCGGTAGTTGCATGGTTTGGCCATGGAAAAGTGACAGGATGAGTATGTATGTATCCGAGAAGCTGGTTACCGTACAGCACAGAACTTGCATCAAAACATTGCGGGTAGTGCTAGTGCCTTGAATCGTTTGAAGGTTAATGGATTACTTTATATATATATAGTTTGTGTGGAAACTTGTGCATACAAGGCAACCTCACACTAGTGACTAGTGACCATACGCTGCGATTGGGACACTTGTTGGCCCAACCGGCTCTAAGTACACAACCGCGCCGGCACATCTATTAAAGAACCTCATCGCGATTTGAGCCCTTAGGGGGTTTTGCTTCGAACTTGGGTTTTGTTTGTTTGTAATTGGGGTGAAGTGGATGCTTCATCTCTTTGCCTTCGTGCTGCAATCCGCTGGAAAGTTCTAAATGGACGTTGAAACAGTCAAGTGGTTTTAGTAGGTTTGGTCTCATTCACAATTGGCAGCTGCACACTTGGATTCCCGTCCTTTCGTAGTTTCCCTGGAGGTTTTGCCAATAAAGCTGCTGGAACCCCAGAAACTGCATATTCAGCAACTCGAGAGCAGTGTGCCCCAGCATACCATACGAGCTCCCAGAAATTGGCAAAATTTGCAACCGATAAATCGGTACACCAACATCTTCTAGCTCAGCGCTACAGTGATTTAAGATTTTCCTGAGCATTCTAATTTGGTTCAGTGGCAGTGGCTTGGCCTTGCAGCCTTGCACCCAGGACGAAGTGGAGTTCTAGACCAGTCGGTCGTCCATGCTATCCGCAGGATGTACGTTGCTTGACAAAGATTCGGATCAGATGACCGAGACTTTCAAACCACGCAGAGTTTTAAAGACATGATGCGTGATGTTTGCATGTTGTTGTTTGAAACAAGAAGCTACTAGGACAAGAAGCTACTAGGGGCTCCTGGCATCGCTACTAGGAGCAAGGACGCTACTAGGGGCTCCTGGCCGTACTACTAAGAACAATGTTCGCTATTAGAAACAAGAAATATATAGAAATATAGTTAGACTAGAATTGCAGAGGCTTAAAGCGGAGCCTTGTCCTGCGCTCTTTGCCCATGCACATGGAACCCTTGGAGGCGAGCGAGCGGTGCTAAATGTGGATGAAAAGGTTGAAAAGTATGACCAATGCGGTGCAAACGTACTTTGAAGGAATGGGAGGTGATGGGAGATTTTGCCAGAGAGCTGTGTGCTTGGTGCACCCTTGGAGCAATTAGAGAACAGTTTCTGCTACACATCTGATACAATCTCATAGTCTTCTTTCTTGAAATTTATCGCGACCTAAGCAAATCCACAGCGTGGTGTTGTTTGTCCCAAGTCCCAAGATGCACATTTGCCAAACTCCTCCAGATGCGTTGACAGGTGCTGCAGGCCATTCTTGAGCGCCTGCATAAGCCTTTTGCAGCGAGCGGTAACGTGGCCAGAGCTCAGCTCCTCAATTGTGGTTCCTTTTGGGCGCCTTGGCGAGAAATGACATGCCCTACAAACATATATATATATATAATATAATGCAAATGTATAATGTATAATATAATATATATATATGCGAATTTGAATGCCAAGTCCATCCGCCATGTTTCGATAGATCAAGACGCCCCTGGGCTTGTCCCAAAAAGGTGCGCAATGGCCAATCACATGGTAGCCTAATCGTCTGGTTACCTACACCATACGCTAGAGAGCTGCTGGTGTTTGAAGTTGTTGATTGAAGAAGAGAAGATCCAGGTCTTTGGGAGTAACTGGAAACGACGAGGTTGCAGGTGACGTGGAGGACAAGATTCCGAAGTTTGATGGGTCGCCAGAGTTGTTGCCTATCTACAAAGAGAGAGCAGTGCAATATGCTATGGGGGTGGAATACCATAAAAGATATCTATGTGGTCCACGGTTGCTGCAAAGCCTGTCTGGAGTTGCAAAAGCGATCACCAGGCCGCCTTCACTCAGGGACCCACAGTGGCTTTCACATCCTAGGGGCGTATACACGCTGCTGGAGTTCTTGGAGAAACAACTGGGACGTCCCAGCTTGGTCGAGGCAAGTCGGCATGTCATGAAGGTTTTCTACAACATGAGCCGACAGAAGGTGAAACGATGCCACGCCGAGTCGCTTTGGGAAGCCTCCTCTGCACTTCATCGCGCGCAGAAGGAGCGTGAACGGGAAAACCCAAAGGTTCGACTCTGACTCGGCCTGCTGCAGTTGAGGATCCATGGAGCCAGTGGCAACGTCCTGCCTCAACACCTTCGTCAGAGCGAGGCCAACCTTTTCGTGATGATGGTCGACTCGCTGAGGACGACGAGGACGGAGGGCTTGAGGCGGCATGGTCGCAACATGGGCCACACCAGAGTTGGTCCGAGTATCATGACAAGTGGGCCACCAGGTCATGGTATTCAGGTGACTATGAACCACCGGAAACATGAAAAATGACCGAAGAGATTTTTATTCCGGAGTTTTTGGCTGGGCTCCTACTGTTGCATCGCAGTGGTCTTGAGCCAAACGAGAAATCCAACAGCCTCGCAGCCATCAAAGGTGAGTTCTCTACATGGTCAGCGGGGAAGGCGCTGCGTGAACAATAGTCCGACAGTGACATCATCAAACGTGATAAGTCCAAGGGAGCAACAGCGTGCGTCGCGGATGAAGTTGATCCAGAGGCTGACGCATTGCTGGGGAAGACTCCCAAGGCTTTTTCTGTGAACAATCTGAACAAGAGCGGATTGATGAGGCCATGGAGGCCATCAAAGTGC